TTTTTTTTTCTTTTTGGCAGACACAACATCTTTACTTGTACGTGGTGCTAAGGATCGAACCGAGGGCCGCGTGCATGCCAGGCGAGCACGCTACTGCTTGAGCCACATCCCCAGCTCAGAAATGGCAGTTTCTTAACAGTTATCCACAACCTACATAATGGCAGTAGTCCTTGTTCATGTCCCACCATACTTCCTTTTTCTCTTATTTTCATTTGTCTACATTCTCCCTGCTTTAAGATCACCATCTGCACAAACACATGGCTTACAAGATAACCTGCCACAAATCTCTGATCACCTACTGACTCGACAGTTAGTCAAGCTATCTTTAAGAATGAATTTCTTTTAGGAGTACAGATGCCTCAAAAGCAGAATCTACATGTTAAACACTTCTGTACATATGATCCATGCATATGTTTGGGRCTCAATAAATGTTTGGTAGTAAAAGTTATGATATCATGAAATAGTGACAACATATTTTATTTCATTTTTCTTTAAAGAAACTCTTCAGTCATGCTCACTGACCTAGATTGATTTTGTAGTAAATAACTGAACATATGACTAATGCTGAATTGAGAATTCCTTTAAGTCATTTTTCTTCTCAAATAATGAACAATGACATGTTTTTTTATACTRCGAACATTTAAAAAGCAGCCCTGAAATAGATGCACTCTTTTCCTTGTTTACAGCTTACTCTCTACTCTGGAAGGTTTGAAGAGTTCCAGAGCACGCTTACAAAAAGCAATGAAGTGTTCGCCACTTTTAAGCAGGAAATGGATAAAGTGAGTATTATTTATCATCCATGAAATATTGACAGTTTCTACTTTGACAGGCAATTCTCCTTTGGGTTCATTTTTCTCCTGCTAAGATATTTCAGTGCATTTCATGAAGTAATGAAATGTTTATATAAGTAGGAATGAAGTTTGGGCTTTTTTGTGTGTGTTTGTGTAGTAATATCTGGGGAATTAATCTTTGTAAAAGTCCAAAAATGCTAAGATACATTTATTCTGAGGGACAATATTTCTTTTTCTTCTCTAGTTTTAGCTTAAAACAAAAACAAAAACATAACAACACAACAAAAAGACAAGCTCCAACACTATGTTGTGTGTGTGTGTGTGTGTGTGTGTGTATTAGAATGTTAGAGCAGAAAATACTATTTATTGATATTCTTAGAAGGAGAGATATGTACTATGATAGAGGAAGAGCCATGAATGAGAAGACAGAAACCTGAATTAAAATTCTAGGTCTGTTAAATTTCCTGAATTTCATTTTTCTTATAAATTGAGATGTTATATTCATTACCAACATCACGATAYTGTGATGTTCAAATACATTAATGTATTTTAAAAGGTGTTTAAACTTTTTGAGAGTCTATTACAAATATAAGGTATGGTTTTAGTCAGCTTTTTCCACTGCTATGACCAAAAGACATGACAAGAACAATTTAGGGAAGGAAACATTGATTTGGTGCTCACAGTTTAGAGATCTCAATCCATAGATGGCCAACTTCATTCTTTGGGGTCTGAGGTAAGTCAGAGTATCATGGCAGAAGAGTATATTGGAAGAAAGAAACTCAGGACATGGAACCAAGAAGCAGAGAGAGTGTTTCACTCACCAAGAACAAAGTATGCAACACAAAGGCAATCCCCTAATAACCTACCTCCTCTAACTACACCATAGCTGCCTATAGTTACAACCCAGTTAATTCCTAACAAGTGCTTAATTCACTGATTAGGTTAAGACACTTATAACCCAATAAATGTACCTCAAACTTTCTTGCATTGTCTCACACATGAACTTTTGGAGGATACCTCACATTTAAACCATAACAGTTATTAATATTATTATTGGATATAATGTTTAAATCTTGGTCAAGTCAGTATTTTCCCAATATAAAATCAGTATCAGAAATGTATTTCTGACCAGGTATTGGTATTAACCATTTTTTAAGTGTAGAAAATATCCTCTTAGAAATATTTTCATGAAAATCCTTAATAAAATATTAGCACATAGTATTCAACAACATATTAAGAAGATTGGACATACATAATGACCTAGTTGGTTTTATCCCATGGTTGTAAAAATGGCTTACCATACACAAATCAATAAATATAATTCACCACATAAAAAGAACTAAGGATAAAAATCACATAGTCATATCAATAGATGCAGATAAAATTCAATACTCATTTATGATAAAACCTGAAGAAACTAGGGAAAGAAGGAACCAACCTCAACATCATAAAGGTTATAAACAATAAATCCAAAAGTAATATCATAGTTAATGGGAGAAAACACAAAATATTTCCTTTAATTCAGAACAAGAGAACTCTCATCACTTCTATTCAATATAGTACTAGAAATTCTAGCCAGAGCAATTCAGGCAAGAGATCCCCATCAAAATACCTATGACAATCTTCACGGAACTAGAAAAACAGTCCTAAAATTAATTTGGAAAAATAAATGACCCAAAATAGCCAAGGCAATATAAGCCAAAAATGCAATGTTAAAGGCATCACAATATCTGATGTCAAATTATACTACAGATCAATAGCAACAAAATCTGCATGATAATGGCATAAAAACTGATTACACCAATGAATAGAATATAAGACAGAGACAAAACCACACATATAGTCAGCTGATCCTTGACAAAGGTGCCAGAAACATACATTGGAAAAAAGATAGCCTTTTAAACAAACAGTTCTAGGAAAACTGGTTATTTTTTCTAGATATTTATCTCTCACCCTGCACAAAAGTCAACCCCAAATGTATCTAAGACCCAGGAGTTAGATCTGAAACTGCAACTCCTATAAGAAAACATAGGGTCAACACTCTAACATACAGGCAAGGATTTTCTCAAGAGGACCCCTAAAACTCATGAAAYAGTGCCAAGAGTTAATTAATGGAATGGCATTAAATTAAAAGGCTTCTGCACAGCAAACGAAACAATTGAGAATGAGAAGAAAGAACCACAGAAATGGGAGAAAATCTTTGCTAGCTACTCTTCTGACAGAGAATGAATATCCAGAATATATAAAAAAA